ATACGACACTCCTATTTACAATAAAATCCGAACTAATTCGCAGTGGGTTCTATAAAAAACCGACTATAAGAATTAGTGTAAATCACAGCATTCGTACCGCGTTATATGGTGACCAATAAATAAGCTAGATGTAGGGGAAATACGGACAAAATGTAATTGTAATTGTAATGTATTTGTAAACTGCTTTCTTAAAATTAGCATCTCAGTATGTCCTTACTCTCAGTATGTTTTGTAATAGGTTGCACTTTTGCTTAATAAATATTATAGTTCATACTTAATAGTATATTACTGGTGATCAATGAACCAAAGATGAGTAAAAACGATTGAGACTGGTTATAATATCATTAAATGAAAATATCACTAAAAAACAAAATGCCATGTCATTATGTCCGTACTTCACCTAAGTGAATTTTTGTTTTGAGGCAAGTTGCATCAGCATTGCAATATGTGCAAATAATCGACATAAGCAATAAGAAATCAATATATCCGTGTTTTGCAAGTTCTTCCATTTTGTACAAAATCTACAACTATATTACTTATTTTGACAAATGATTTAAAACATTATTTTTGCAAACTTTAATTGATTTTTTTATAAATAAACCACTTGTCGTAGGCCCTTAACTCATAAAATGTTTCATAAAAATGTCCCATTTAAGCCGATCGTTCCGAGAAACTAATTGAAGTTAGTCTTTATAAAGTATCATCAAAAGCTTATAAATTTTCAAATCGGTGCTCACATATCGACACATATATTCTTTTTCTTATTTTGGTCTCGAACGATTCAGAACGACTTCAAACGTGGAGATAAACATAAAGCTATCATGTCAGATTCATATACAATAATATAATAATTCATATAAATATTATCATTGATATACAAATGAAATTATTAGTACGCAAGTATACAGGTAGACCCTCGATGTTAGGTAGATAGAAAGCTAAACAGGTAGAAAAAGAGATAGGTAAAAAGTATAAAAGTAAACAGGTAGGCATATAGACAGGAAGGCAGAGAGACTTGTACACAAATAGACAGGTTGACAGGTAGAATAGTGGACAAAAAGATACACATGTAAATAAGTAGACATGTAAACAGAATACTTATCTGATCATTTACAAATTAAATTACTAAATCTATTAATTACACATACCGGAAAATGCATGCAAGTTGCATTTAAGCAAAACGCCACTTAAACCATGCAAGTTGCATTTAAGCAAAACGCCACTTAAACCTCGTGAAAATAGCATCGTGTGCACAATCATATCTAACATATATCCATTTGTGACTTTTTCTGCCTTGTAGTCTTCAAGTGAATTTGAGATTTTTTCATAAAGTCTGAGTTAACATCTTGATAAATACCAATTATTGACTTTTTTCCTATGATTCACAAGCTTCGTTACTTTACTAAATTTCGTGTATCTAAAAACATAATATAAATATTTATAGTTTAATTCTGAGCCAGTCTCCATACACATTGAATAGAATTGGCAAAACATAGTTGACAAAAAATGTTTAGAATTAGAATGAAAATTGCTCGATTTTGTAGTTAATAAAGAAAAAATAATAATGAGTAGTAATTCAGTAGTTTCGTATCCAAGAGCCGTAAAGCAACAATTGCTTATTTTTAGTTTAGGTCTTTCCAACTTCTGCAAATAAGTAACAGTATAACTAGTGGTGCATGGCATTGTGCCTTGAGGCGGCAAATTGCTAGAGCTTCCCGTACCGAGAACTAAATTTTTAAAAAAAAACTTGAAAATTTTTTCAAAACTGAAAATAACTAATTTTTGAGCATTTTGAAATTTTTTAAAAAATTAGACATTTTTCGAAAATTTAAATTTTTTTTATATTATGAAATTTCTTGAAAATGTTGAACTTTTTATTAAAGCAATCGCGCTGCATAGCTGTTTTAGAGCCGAAATATCGAAGCGCGTAAGCGCTTCGTCGCAGATTAACGTGTAGAACATTGGTACGAAACATATGTAAATGTACACAAAATTTGGTAATATAATGTGCATATGTCTAATGATCATTTTTGACTGCCAAGTGGCATTATTTTTTACTTTTTGTATTGGATCTCCGGAAACACTAGATCTGCCTTCTCAAAAATTTTACCAGTTGTTCACTTGGTGAATACAAGTAAAATGTTTGAAAAAATGAATTATTGAAATTGGACGCTCCGTTCTCTCAAAATCTGAAATACCATTTTTGGCCCTTTTTGCGCCGTATCTTCGAAATGGCGAGGCCTACCTTTGCCAAAAACTAATCAGCTCGTCTCCTTATCGATAAAAACTAAATACGTGTTCTCGAAATCATAGACAAAATATTGTATCCGCACACACATACATCAATTTTTTCTAAGGTATGCCGAAATGTTCAGAAACCTCTAAAACGTAAAAATATATTAAAAACTTCATTTTCGATTTTACTGCGATTACTATAACTTACCCTATGGAAAGTTAATAATATGCATTAAATAAAGTAATAAGAATTTTTTGAAATCATTTTCCACAATCATAGTTGATTAAAAATGTTAAATGGATTACACGTATGATTATATTTTAGGTTCTAAAGAGAGTCTTTCAAAGGGCGATGCAGAAGGTAGTAAAGATATATTTGAAGCGGTTGCATTTGCGAGCAAATTAGTATTTAGACCAGGAGTATCGAAGATATTCATCACATTACCATGCTCAACTTGCAATCCAAAAGATATGAAAGTAAGTTCACTTCCCTAACTATCTAAGTTTAATTAATTTTTAATGAAATTATATTTAAAAAAAATATGAATTCTAAATGCGTACCACAATTAAAACAAAACGAGCCTTTTATAATCCAATTTAATACACACTCTGATATATGGAAAACATGAGTTGTCAACTGAAACTATTATGGTAGACGCATTTTAAATAAAAAACAATCCTTTAAGTATAAAGTTAGCACACATAAATTTTATTATCAGAACATACTTACTTCTGACCATTGTTACCAAGTGTTATGTTTCAAAGCAATAAATAACACTCATCACACAATTTTTAATTCATTTTACAAATTTCAAAATAACCGACAACAAAAACATTTTTACTTCTTTTTGTCAAAGAAAAAAACAAGAACGCAAAGAACGTGAACTGTAACCATCATGTTGAAAAAAAAAATCAATCAAGATCCTCCTACTAATTTTTCTCGATTTTATTCATCAATTTTATTTGCACTAATGTTTCGTCTCTAAATTATTTAATAGCTGGATTACGCTGCTATAAATTCCCTCCTGCTGGAAAGTGGCATAAAACTGCACATGCTGATCAATGAAGAATTTACCTTTGATAAAGTGAAAACAAATAAAGCATTTTACGGTTCGTAAAAATACAATACAATATATGAAACAAAATATTATTTACTAATATAATTATCGTATTATTACAGGTATCGATCAAGTCACCGCATATACGAAAAAGACGTCAATGGACTGATTGGAGACAAGGAACTGAGAGACTCGGTGAGACTTCCAAAAGCTACTTTGGGATATTGTTCCAGATTGGCACTAGGATCCAATGGTAATTAATTATGAAATAATACTATTTGATTTATCCAGGAAAAAACAGCACAGTATTTTACAAACACGAGCACAGCAACATAATTGAAATGATACTTGTATAATTTGTGATTTCCTATTACCAATTTAAGGCATGGACAGTAATAGAGTAATATCAAAATAGACAGCAATTACCGAAAAAAATAAATTTTAAAGGTAGAGTCGTGTCCAAAGGTTAATTGTTTGTAATGTGGCAATAACATCATCATAACCAATCGTATTATAGTAATCAGTAGCAAACCACAAAAAATTAAGTGTATGCCATCACGTCTTAGGGCAAAATGCTGGAACTTCCCATATTGTAATAAACATTATAATTTTTGTACGGAGCCCACAGATATGTGAACAAAATTTGTACTTATTATTGAATCTCTATTAAATGGCGTTTTTTTACTTTTTTAATTTCATCTTTAAAACCGCTGGACCTGCCTTCCCAAGTATTAAATCAATTCTTCATTCCTTCGATACAAATACAATTTTTGCACTTTTTTCCTGGATCTTTGGAACGACTGGAACTGCATTTGCCAAAACCTTTTCCGATACCAGCCAAAAAAGTGTATTCGCACATACACACACACACAAACACATACATACATTTTTTCTAAGACATGTCAAAATGTTCAGAAGACCTTGTAAAGATATGCAAAAAATTTCTCTTTCGATTTTTTTGCGATTACTATAACTTACCCTACGGGAAGTTAAGTATACTATTATCAAAAAATTAAAATACTTTTCAAAATAATTCAAAAATTCATTGGTTTACAAAAACTGTTACTGCAAACGTTAAGTACTGGCTATCTTCGAATATTTAGAAAGATGTTAGATTGTTTTCACAACGGTTTGAAAAAGAAGATTCAATGTACCGTGAACAAAAATAATTTTTTGTCAAAACAATAATGGGAAAAGCCATTTCTTTTATAAATGTGATCATAAATTTCTTTTATATCACACCTTGCTTATCGCAAAGTAATATAATTTACTACGGTTTCACAACGTGTTCAATATAAAAATATCGCGCACGCATGAACTCTTTTATTCCAAATATAATTAATTTTTCTGTAGATAACAGAGCCATCTTATCCGAAAATAGGCCTATACATTATATATTAACTAGAGATGCATTGCATCGCGCCTCAAGGCAAATTTCTAGAATTTCTCGAAAAGCTTCAAGTTTTCTTGAAAATATTGATACTTTTTTCATTGCGACAGCGCTGCATAACTGTTTGAAAGGGCGAAATATCGAAGCGCTTAAGCGCCGCATTGCAGTTTAACGGTTCAATATTTTAAATCTTGGTACTCAGACAAAAACAAAAAAAATTGTACTTATTATTAAAGTCTAATAATTATTTTTGACCGCAAATATGGGGTTTTAACTATTATCATTGCATCTGCGAAACCGCTAAACCTGACTTCCTAAAAATTTAACCATTTCTTCATTCCGTCAATTAAATAAAATATTTTTTGAATCATTTAAATCGGACGTTCCGATCTACCAAAAATTGAATTTGCATTTTTGCACATTTTGCTCCGTATCTTCGAAACGGCTGGGCCTGTCTTAGTCAAAAACTAATCAGAACGTCTCCCTACAATAGGAATCGAATGTTTTTTGAATCATTCAAGTCGGTCAAAATCCATGCTCTAGTAATCGTAGACCAAAATTTGTATCCGAACATACATACATACATACCCAGTGCTGGATTTACAGTAGGGGCAGTAGGAGCTACTGCCCAGGGTGGCAAATTTCCGGAGGCGGCAAAATTTGCGTAGTAAAAACAAAATTTTTTTCTCAATAACATTTTTTATTCAAAAAATATAATTAACAAAACATAATACGATTGCAATGCAAAATCTGGCAATTTTGCTAATAAAAAGATTCGTAAATGAGCTGAAAGTTTAAGAAAAGTATGTTCTTCAGATCGCGAGCACTCTTAAGATGACGAATTTGTGCACTTCCAGCTTATAGTGCCGAAAAAAATTAAACTAGTGACGCATGGCATTGTGCGTTACTGAAATTACCCGTACTAAAAATTACATTTTATAAAGAGCTTTGAAATTTTTCGAAAAATGAAAAAAATTGAATTTAAGAAACCTTTTTTGATATTTTGAATGTTTTAGAAAATTATGAACTTTTATTTATTAACCCTTTCCACTCGCGAATTCCGAGATTTATATGAATTTTGTCGCCGGAGCGGCGGCATCCGAGTGGAAGAAAGGGTTAAATTTATTAAAATTGAATTTTATTTGAATGATAACGATTCTTATTTAACGAGACGTGCAGATTAGTTATTAGTCCAAGGCAGGTCCAACTTATTCGAAAAGACGGGCCGAAATGTCAAAAATGATAATTCAGTTTTTGAGAAACGAAACGTCCAATATCATTAAAAAAATTATATGTATAGACAAAATGAAGAACTACATAAATTTGTGGGAGACAATTCTAGCGGTTTCGGTGACCTAATAAAAAAAAATTCGAGATTTGAAAAAACATTTGGCGGTCAGATATTTTAATAATAAGTATAAATTTTGTTTACATTTCTATGGGTTCTGTAACATTGTATATCCATGATATTGCGACGCAGCGCTTAAAAATACAAAAAACTCAAATTTTTCAAAAAATTAATTTTTTTTTCAAAGTTTTCACAATATTTTTTTTTTTTTTAATTTTAATTTTTGGTACGGGAAGTACAAGCAATTTGCCGTACAAGTAATTTGCGATGCCAAGTACCACTATTTATAGTATGTAATGCGAAATGAATTTTAAAAGAATTTAAAATAATTTTTTACATAAAAACAGTTTAAGTAAAAATCCTGGGATGAGGCGGCATTTTTGTCAGTACGCCAGGGCGCCAAATTTTTAAATCCGGCCCTTTACATACGACACATATACACATACGCCCTTTTTTGTTTGCGATTACTATAACTTACCCTACGTGAAGCTGAAAATTGTGTCTGTATCGACGATAAAATGATTGACGACTAGCTGTAAGTGGAATTCTGTCTTGAGGCAATTATGGCATCGTGCCTTAAGGCAAATTGCTGGAACTTCCCGTACCGTAACGAAATGTTTGAGGAATACTGAATGTTTTCAAATAGATTATTATAAATATTGTAACATTGTCTAATATTTCTAAGAATTATATAAACTGAATTGCTATAACAAACTATAGTCAGAATTAAAAATAAAATCTGAAATATTTTCGATATACAAAAAACTAAAAAAAACTAAAAAAAAAAAATTGGAACAAAATTTTTTTTTCCAAAATCAATTATTTTGTTAAGACAAGCAGAAAGTTCTTTGAATCATTTAAATCGGACGCTTAGTTCTCTCAAAAACTGCCATTTTTTACAAATTTAGCTCCGTATCTTCAAAATGGTTGGGCCTGCCTTTGCCAAAAACTAATAAACACTTCTCCCAATCATTACTAATTGAATGTTTTTTAGATCATTCAAATCGGATGCTCCGTTCTCTCAAAAACTCGATTTCTATTTTCTGCACTCTTTGCTCGTTATCTCCGTACCTGCTGGACCTGCCTCTACCAAAAACTAATCAGCACATCTCCTTATCAATAGGAGTCGAATGTTTTTTAATCGGGCGTACGGTTGATCCGTACGCCCGAAAACGTGGGCGAAAATTTGTATCCATACATACATACACACACACATCCATTTTTTCTGAAGTATGCCAAAATGTTCAGAAACCTTCAAAACGTCGAGAAATGTAAAAATTTTCAATTCCGATTTTCGGCCCATTACAATAACTTACCCTACGAGAAGTTAATAATGACAAACATTTGAATTTTCATTGCATTACTTAAATGTATAGATAGTTTATTTGTTCATAAACTGAAATTTTTTAATTAATTTGTCAGTAGCCACGAATATCATATACTATCCGTTATATAAAACTAATATCGATCTATCCCCGACAGGTTCGCTATTCACCGCAAAGAAAATGGAAAGTGACAAGCGTAATCCGGTGAAAAAATTCGTGAGCGTTTTTGCAAAACGAGTGGCGGTTTCTGCGGTTCCGTCCGCTTGTCAGATATGCGAGTGCACGGCGCGCGACTACGGGACAGCCTACACCCACTGCCACTCCTGCGACTACCAGACACCGCCGAGCCAGGACACGGTGAGTAAAATAATAATTAACTAGCTGTAAGTGGAATTCTGTCTTAAGGCAATTAAGGCATCGTGCCTTAAGGCAAATTGCTGAAACTTCCCGTACCAAAAATTATTAATTTTTTAAAAACGATTAACATTTTTGAAAAAAATTTACTTTGAAAAAATAAGATTTTTGAGAAACTATAAATTGGACAAAAAATTACTTTTTTTTTGAAAAAAAATTAAAAAAAATAAAAAAATTTCTTTTTAATTTTTTTTTGAAAAAAATTTTATTTCTTTATTTTGACATATTGTGGAAGCTCTGAACTTTTTTTCAAAGCAATCGTACTGCTTTAACTGCATAGGGACAAAATATAAAGCGCGTAAGCGCCGCGTCGCTGTCTAACGCATAAGCATTGGTACGGAACCCATAGGAATGTTAACAAAATGTATACTTATTGTTAAAATCTCTATAAAATATCTGATAATTTGATGTGCATATGTCTAATGATCATTTTTGACCGCCAAATGGCTCATTTTTTTACTTTTTCCTCCATATCTCCGAAACCGCTAGACCTACCTTCATGAAAATTTTATCGATTCTTTATCTTGTCAATACAAGTCAAATGTTTTTTGAATTATTCAAATCGGACGCTCCGTTCTCTTAAAAACTAAGTTACCGTTGTCGGCACTTTTTGCCCCGTATCTTCGGAACGGCTAGACCTGCCTTCGCCAAAAACTAATCAGCACGTCTCCTTATCAATACGAATCGAATGCTTTTTGAAATATTCAAATCGGTTGATTTGTGTTCCCGAAATCGTCGACGAAAATTTGTATCCGCACATACATACACACACGTACATACATACATACATACATACACACACACACACACACACACACACATACATCCATTTTTTCTAAGGTATGCCAAAATGTTCAGAAACCTTTGAAACGTAAAGATATATAAAAATTTTCATTTTCGATTTTTTTGCGATTACTATAACTTGCCCTACGGGAAGTTAATTAGTACAAAACTGATCTGGTAGAAAAGCAATTTGTTTATAAATGAAAATAATAGCTGTTTTTCAAGTGGTGTAACAAAAATATTTTTAATCAGCGTGGTCATCAATCTACATAAGGAACTAGCGCTGTCTGGCATCGCTATATACATGGCATCGTGCCTTAAGCCAAATTACAGGATCTTCCCGTACAGAAAATTGATTTTTTTTTATTATGAAATTATTGAAAATATTGAACTCCTTTCCAAAACAATCACTACGTAACTGTTCTAAAGATAAAATATCGCAGTCTAACGGAAACGGATAAATATTGGTACTTATTACTGAAATCCCTATAAAATATCTGATAATTTGATGTGCATACGTTTAATGATCATTTTACCGGTTCTTCATCCCGTCAATACAAACTAGTTAATATTGGTATTTAGCCTTGAGGCAAGTTACATGAACTTCCCGATATGTGTAAATAATCGACTTAATCAATAATAAACAAATTAATTTATGAGTGATTAGAAGTATTCCGAGAAGATTTATTACACATAATTGAAAACGAACGAACACGTTAACTCGGAGTATTTTCTAAAACCAAATTTTCACAAATCAATAATTTTTATAATTGAACCAGTTTTCGTAGGACTTTAATGGTTTAGTATGTTCATTAAGACCAAGTACTCTATCGTTATACCAAGTAAATCGTCTAATTTTAATTTTAACAAACGTCAAAAAAACTACTCATTTTCTCAAACTTTGATGAATTTTTAAAATTAAACTACTTGTTTTAAGGGCGTACTATTTCAGTAATTTCTATAAGACCATGATATATATCGCCAAAAAAAGTTCCATTTTTTTTTTCAACAGATAATTGCAAGAAAATGGCTCGGTAGATTTTCACCTAAAACTAATCAGTATCATTCCCAACTAATATCTTTCGAACAGTTTTTAATTTTTTTAAATCGATTCGGTAGTTTGAGCTTAAACGTGGACGAAAAGTTTAACACTGTTTTTCAAATTAGAAAGAAATGGTTCGGCAGATCGTCTCACAAAGCTGACAATATATAGTCCTCATTAAGATACATCAAATGGCTTTTAAATTTATAAAATCGATTCAGGCATTTTTTAGAAAACGTCTATCAAAGGTTTAATTTTGACAAATGCCAAAAAAACGATACAATTTTTTGCAAACTTTGACGAATTTTGCAAATTAAACGACTTGTCGTAGGGCCGTAATATTTTAGTATGATCTACAAAACTATGGTATCTACCGTCAAAAAAAAATCATAAAAATAGTCGTTTTTTTTAAAGAACTTTATTACAAGACAACGGCCTGGCTGATCTTTACCAAAAACTAATCACCACGATTCCCAATCAATATCTATCGAACGGTTTTTGAATTTTCAAAATCGATTCAGAATTGCGGGCTAAAACGTGGACGAAAAATTTTTCACTTTTCTGCGATTTACAAAGAAATAGCCCGGCCGATCGTCACACAAGACGCAGAAACGCTAGTCCTCATCGAGATACATCGAAAGGCTTTTAAATTTTTGAAATCAATCCTGCCGTTTTTGAGAAAACCTTGATTTACGGCAAAAAATATGTTCACACACATGCACACACACATACTTTTTTCAAATTTGGTCTCATTCGATTAAGAATGGCTTGAAACGTCGGGAAAACATAAAATTAGCGAGTCGGATTTTTTTATGAAAATAAACTTCTCTTTCGGGAAGTTAATAAAAAGGTTTTTGTATCGTTCATATTGGACGCTCCGTTCTCTCCGTTTTTTCATTTTTGATAATTATTTTTATAGATTGCAGAATGAAGATAAAATAAATAAAAAAAAAATAGTTCAGAGTAACGCCATTATATTTATAATGTTAAAAATTTAAGAGCTCGTGATCGTTTTGCTGTCAGAATTGCTATAATAAAATAAAATTACTTTATACTCGTCTCAGTTAAGCTTGCGCCTATTATCTTACTGCTAGAACAAAAACAGTTCATTGTGTTGAGTACGATGAGAAAACAATCTTATCCGACGATAGGTCTATAAATTTATATAGTTTTATGCCTATAAAACGTTCCCCATATTTAGAGACCTTCTTCTATTATAAAGTAAGTAGGTTCATATGCAATAATATTAACTATAATTTCATTACTTTCTTTGTTGCAGAAATTTATGGATGAATCTTCTGTGTTAGCGCTCCTCCAAGATTTCAGTTTCGACAGAGATTTCGAAAGTGATTATGTGGATTCGTCATAGCAATAAATTAGTATATATTATTTTAGTACAATGTTCTTGTAAATAAAATGATTCTGTTGTGTTATGTTTGGCAATAAAATATTTATAATTATAAATCAATAATACAAACGGTGTTTAAAGTTTCTCGTATGGATCCGAAATCGTTGAAGAAGATTGTCAGCAATACTAATATTAAAATTATTCACATCCACAAATTTGAAAAAGTAGCATATATTATATTTCATGCTCTTCGCCATTATCCGTTTCTTTTTGGATTAACACATAAAAAAATCAATCAACATTAAAATATGATCAAGTCAAGAAGTATATAAATAGTAGTTCGTATTTTTTCTCATATTGCGCATGGTATCAGGCTGCGATCAGTCTTCAATAAAAGTTAATCATTCAATTCTTGAATAGATCATATTTTCTCCTATGTTTTCCTATTTTGATTTCTAATATTCTGAAAATACAACCCTGTGGAATGATTTAAAAATCCAATATCCCCAGCTCTCTCTTTATTAAAGATACCCACAAAAATTCAAGCATCCTTAGCGATTTCGCTTTATTTGAATATGTTTCATTAACATCGAATTTGAATTGTTTCATTAACATCGAAATTGATTGTATAGTTAAAATACAGAAGTAAGTGTGAGTGGCATTACACCTTAAGACGAAATGTATTATCATACTGATATGTTCTAATAAATAGACTTAATCGATAACAATTGATATTTAGCAACATTTAAAAATGTCAGGATAAAATTTTAAAATTTTGACGCAGACCGTGATTTCACACATTAATAAATTTTCATAAATAAACCACTTTTAGTAGAGCCATAATAATATTATATGATGTTCGGTTAAGGAGAAAAACTATCAAAACAAAAAATCAGTAATTAATTACGAAGAGTTGCCAATCTTTTCCAAGAACCAATAGGCACTATTTCCAACTATATCATTAGAACCGTTTTTGTATTTTCAAAATCGATTCAGAGATTTTGACGAAAATTTGTACAAAACAATTTGCACTTTTCTGCAAATTCCAAATCAATGGTTTGGCCGATCGTCTGGTAAAAGTAACTAAAGCAATAGTCTAAGAGCCAGTGAACTATTTGACTAACCTGTTTTCTTAAAGCTAGAAATTTTTTTAATGATATTTTATTATCGGTACATTAAGAAAGTGCCGGTCTGGCAAGCGTCTCGCGATTGCGTCATTATCCCTAAAGTTTTTGAAAATGTAAAAAAAAAAATTTTTTTTTAACTTGCTTTCACAAGGCTCAAATTTTTAGGGTGTAGTATTCTTTTAATTGTTCAGAAAGCATATGTAAAAAGCCAGACCATTCTGACGGTTGCAAGAGTATATCATTAAAAAAAATTCGGTTGCAAGTCAAATAGTTCACTGACTCTTAGACTACAAGTCCTTCTTGGTCTAATGACTTTTAAAATCTTTCAAATTGATGCAACAGTAGTTTAGAAAATGTAGATTATGGCCAGATTTTGACTCACAGATCAACACACTCATTTCATTTATACATTTTGATACAATTTTGGTGTCAAAAGATTCTGAATGACTTAAAACGTAGAGGAAACAAAATTAGCAAATCGGATTTTTTGGCAAAAACAAACTGCTCCTTTGAAAGCAGAAAAAAAAGAAAGCACTTCGAAGAGAGAGCAGCGGAAACAAATAATAAAATTAATTGAAATTAAATTTCAATATAATGCTGATTATCGAGAAAGGGAGAACTTTTAAGTAATGAGTCTTGGACGAACACTTGATTGATTAACGACTTGTTTGAGAAAAGGAAGCATCCAGACTTACAAGGCTAAAGTGTACAAAAACAGGTGTAGAAGACAACCTGGTATCGAATGGTAAATATTGCTCTCGCACAAAAGACCTGCCTTCGAGCAGAGAAATTATTAACTGGCATGATCTGCAATAAAAATGTTATACCTGTAAACCATTTATACAAAATATTTCGTTTTTTCAATGATTTTATATATTCATGTTCAAATTTCTTGAAGATTCTATACATGATGATACTAAGTTATTATAAAATAAAACTAGACACTTCTACAATGATTATATTATAGTTATACAGTACGTACCTCTTATATCAACGTTAATTAATATTTGCATTTATATAAAATTACACATAGCTTATATGTATATGAAATACTTCAACTTCAAAAATTGATAAAATTCAATTGGTTCTAGACTGCCTATTATAGATTGGTGTATATAAAAGCCATATGTTTCATTATCAAACACACTATCGCAGACATTCCTACACCTATTTTTAAAAAAAAAAATCAATAATCAAACTAAAAAGCATAATACATTTTCTATGTGCAACGTTTGCAGAATTTTTGCACTTATGTAGACCAAGAACCAAGAGTCGAGGGCAATAGAAATGCCATGAACGACCCAAGGATCCACGTCTTTTACAAAAGTTATTAAAGCTAGATTGCTAGTTACCAGGTAACATTTATTTATATTTGTACACGGCACTGGGAATACTTGTGTAGATAATCACAAAAAGTTTTGAACATAATTGACACAATTATTTTTTAATTTATTTTGTAAAATCACAAAATTCAGACACGACGAAATCGAAATATGATGCTTTGTAAAATACATCGAGCATTCTTATATAACATGATAATAAAAATTGTGCAGTGAGACAGTCATTTGTCATATCTCTAGAAACAATTTATCTTACTTAGATGAATATAATAAATCTATTATTTTAATAGTACGATAGGTTTTTATAATTTCAAGAGTTTTCTCAGTCATATTGTCATTTTTTCTCCAAAATGTGAAAGCTTTCATCGTTTTTTGTGGTATTTACGGTGATTAGGCTTGCGAGCTTATGAAGAATTTGTATCAAATTTTGTGTAATAAATAAAAACAAGGCTAGATATTTTTAACGGATTTAAGTATTATAAAATCCGTAATCATTATCAAACTTGAGCAGAACGTAAGTCAAAATTATGGAACTTTTAAAATTATTATTTCGCAACTTGTTACTACTATGAGCCATCACAACTCAATTTGTTAATGGCACAGCATTTACAAATATTGATATAAAAATGTATTGATTAATAAATTTATAAATTTATAAATGGTATCAAAAAGGTACGTATCAAGCTTATCTCCAGTAAAAGACCAATGGAACTACAGAATGAACTTTTCCCAGATATATACTTCCATGAATGATATCTGGGAAACATCTACGTCAATCACAAAAATTGATCGATTCATCGATTAAGATTTCGAAATAAGATTTTTTTTTATAGAATTTCACCACGCCATTAAATCTCACTAGATTATTTTAACGAAATTCTAATCTGGATTCAAGATTTTCAAATAAGCTATATGATAATGCATTAGTTGAGTCATAAATGATTAAAATATGGTTCTAGTGCAGTAGAGAAAACGAGTTTCATAGACTGTTTATTAGTGTCTTATTATATAGTGTCTGTTTAAAATATTAATATATTAATAATTCATTACAAGTAAAACAATGAAAACCTCGTCATGTGATAATTGTCGCAAACATATGAAAAGAGGAAATATATTAAAGTAGGAGATCTTAACCCCTTAACTTACAATTTCGATTAGAAAATGTTGGGCCAAAGTTGTACAAGCTGGCGCAGCGTTTCTGACTGTTTTTTCCACATAGTGTACAGATTTTCACAAAAATTAAAAAATTTTGTGTTTTATTTATCTATAAATAAATATTTTGTGATACTTGCGATTGCCGTACCGGGCTATGTCCGTAATGCGTAATATTTGCTTCTAGACCGATTATCATACGCAGGCTATTCCCGTAATATTTACGTTTGGCCTAGAAATCGCACGCGAGCTATGTTCTTCATTTTAAGTTAAGGAGTTAAAAAAGAATACAGGACATTTTTAAACAAGGATTGAAAATATTTTTAAAAGGTAATCAGGAACATTTTTAAAAGAAGATTGAGGAGGATTTTCTTAAAAGAGGAGATAAATGAAAAGTTATTAAAAGTTTTCTTTCGATAGCTGATTCAAGCAGCCTTACTTCAAGCAGTATTGACATAGGTCTTCACGCAAGCAACCTAATTATTTTCATAATATTCTTGGTAACAAAGTCGCACCAAAAGTGGTGGATTTCTAAAAAAACGCATTCAAAATACAACCAAAAATCAAATAAATAATGTTTTAATTTAAACATGTATAATATTAATAGTAAGGAAAAACGTTACAATACACAAATTTTAGTTATTTTCAGTCGATACGATCCATTTCTTAACTCGACAATTTTCAGAGCCACATCCGTCAGTGGTAGATTTCTAGAAATTAATTATGTGCGCTTAATTTTAATTGAGAATATCTTTAAAGTTTGTAGTTCGTACTGGCCATAAGCAAGTAATATGTAGTATTATTATAACCATTCCATTACCACGACAGATCGATCATTTGGCACACGGTTTACAATTTTATTTTATATTTTGGCACATTGAAATAAAAAATAAACTTGAAAAGTTCGTATATGATTCGCAACAATGATCTCGAGTTTGAGCAGATCACATAGAAATTGAATATTTTCAATAAAGTATGGATTATGCGCTAAAGCAATATTCATCAAATGCAGTATTTCAGTCAAAATTTCAAGAAAAAACTTAAATATAATTTATTGCACATTCATACGTCGTAATATCGTTTCAAAAAGTTTGTGTAAATTTTTGGACGGTATTAGAAAGCAGGCGCTCTTCAAATTATAGAAAATTAATTCCATTTTAAAATTAAATATAACTCTTAAGTGTATTTAATCAAAATCTAAATAATGTAACGAATATTGCTTCAAAAAATTCTGCACTTGTGCAATTACTTAACCATTTCAATAAAAAATTAAAAACCAGAATCGATGAATAAATTAGGAAAAGTATGTTTTTAGTATTTTGCAAGTGTCTTAATATCGAAGACAAATATAAACTGATTTTCAACCAAGGTGTAAAATTATCTATGGCAGAAATATTTATGGCAAAAATTGAAAAATATTAGCTACCAGGAACTGTCACTAGTATTCCAATGCTAAAAATATGTATGATCCAACATTGATTCAATTCTCTTAACCCATCCATTAAAAGTAAGTTTTCTGGGCAATCTCAATTTCCAAGAAATCTCAAGTTTCGGTCAACCCTGTCTATTTTGAAAAAAAACACGCGAAACACATTTTATCGTCAACTAATTGTATGTTAAAGAGTTGCAGATTTTGCATTCAAGCGCTAATTAATGAAAATCGAATCATCAATCAATATTGATTTTTCCGTAGTCTAAAATAGCGAACATGCCCGTCTATTAGAAGGTATTACAAGATTGTATATATTCCTCTTGAGATTGTGGATGCCATAAGGCGATGAGGACTAAGTACTTAAACAACAATATATATACATATATCTCAGATATATACATTTATCTTTTTCTATCTATTTACTTCCAAATGATCTAAATTTGGAAAACATAAATCAGCTTATAAGATAACATTTAATAAATATTATTTTAAACTTAATAAATTAAATATTGATCAAATTATCATGCTAGAGAAACAAAAGAATTCTAGAACGTTCAAAAATTAATAAATAATTTAAAATTCAAACAAAAAGTCGCAAATTTAATTCAAAAAGGTCGCACAGAAATCGGCATATTAAAATAATTAAAAAAAACAAGAACAACCGAACAAACGTAGTTGCAAATCACGACAGGAAGTAATTATAAAGTACAATTCATCAAAAAGATATCGGTATAATTAACCATACCTTTATAAATGTAATTTTGGCAACAAAAAAGTACTATTTGAAATATTATTCCAGAAAATTTTCACACCTACACACTTTTGGAAATATGCAGTTTCAAAACTTTACACAGCAATAATAGGAAATATGTCACGCACTTAGAATAATTTTAAGTGGTTTATCCGATATTAACTCATGCTAGTCAAGAATTTTTTAAGAGTCAAATTAATAAATATTCCACCTGTATTACTTGAACTCTTCAAAAGATACATAAGATTAAATGAATACAAAATAACAGTAACTAAACGTTCCAACGCAAAGAGTTGATCATCAGTTATACTTTGACTTCAGAACATATCGAAAACAGAGCCCTTTTAAACACTTTTGTCATTAATGTTGATTACTGCGGTACATAGTGTATGTAGTGTTACATTTTGCAAACTAAAAATACCTGCAATCTGCAATGTAATTGCATTACATAATTTTAAAGATTAACGGTAACATACATTGAGCGAATTTGATTCTACACTATATCTAAAATGTATATATTCATACATTATATATATATATATATATATATATATATATATATTAATATATTATATATATATATATATATATATTCATACCTATATATATATATATATATATATATATATGTGTGTGTGTGTGTGTGAGTGTGTGCATACGTAATATTTTGTTTCAACATATATATATATATATATATATATATATATATAGGTAGTATATATAGATATATATGCAATATTTATACAAACTAATTATCATAGAAAGAGTAATATATATGTATAAATCTAATTATATAAAAACAATTAGATCTAATATTTATATAAGTTATAAATTTGCAATATATTAAAATCTCATATGCAATGTGACGTCAAAAAAAAACGCTTACTATTCTTCCTAAATTGATTTCTTAATCCACTCATCATATTATTTTAACTAATGTAGTACGGAACGTAATAGATTACACTTTTTAGTTGAATTATGGTATAAAACGCATTTTGTAAAATGGTCCCCAAATGCAAATGCAAAGTAAACACTAATTGTTTATTATCATTTAATATGAATGTTATTGGAGTTAAAGAATAAGTTATAAAGTTTGTGAGTGCAAAATAAGAATTTCATGAAAAATTGTATATTTAGCTTGTTCCAATATGTTTATTCAGATGTAATAAAAATTAATTCCCACTTTTCATATTAGTAAATTTTGGAACCAAAATGAAATAGAGAATATCATTTTTGCAGAAAAATTCATCAACAATAAATTTCATATGAAATGAGCGCATAGAAAATTCAACAGCAATACTAAATTGTGTTTGCAAACATTAAGATTAGCTACACTGAGATATAATCACGTGTATTTAATATCCTCGAAATAAACATACCGAAACAAAAAAAAAAAGAAATAATTTTCTGCGAGTAATAAAATCTTTTTTTTTTTTCTAACATGATGACATTGACTCATGAATGCCCAAGCATTTTTTTGCATAATTGGCTTAAAAAACTTTCAAACCTAAAATTTGAAGGTCTATAAGTAAAAATAAAAACAAAATTTTTAATTACTACATTGACTCAATAAAATTCAAAATAGCGAATAATCAATTAAAATTTGAATTATCTCATTGTATTTTTGCCGGTTATATGAATATCAAAGTAGCAAATTATAATCAACACAAAATATTAGAATGCAAAAATAGTAAAATAGAATTTAAAAATATGCTAAAAAAACGAACAAATATGTAAGAATATATATATTAGGATGGTCCTTAATATGGATGTTTTGGAATTTCCTTGCTCCCAGGAGCTCAAATGCTTCCAAATTTATAAAAAATAATTCCCTAAAAGTTTTAGCCCTTAATATTAACTTTAAGATAGTCCGCACTCCAACCGAAGTTTCTATGGATATAACATGAGTAAAATTTCATTTGTTTTATAGCTTAACGACAAGTGAATCAAAATTTTAAGAATAACATTGTATTTGCTTATTTTGATCATAAATAAAAAATTTATAACAAAAATTTGATATATTTTATAAAATAAATTTTTACTTAGGAAGAGAACCCAGAAACTTTGGTTGGAGCGCGGACTATCTTAAAGTTCATATCGAGAGCTAAAACTTTCAGAGAATTGTTTTTTATCAATTTCAAAGCATTTAAGCCCTTGAAAGCCAGGAAATTCGAAAATATCCATATTAAATACCATCCTAATATATATATATACACAAACATAAGAGGCAGAAATGAGTTAAAGTCGGCAGTTAAATGTTAATTATAACAAAGATATAATTAAACATAAATGCACATATTGTTCTAAAAATTCTATTGAGTATTCCTTCAAATATTGCTGGGACAATATCAGTAGTTGAACTTATTAACTTTTGCTTGAACCCCAATAGGATGTCCCCAAAACTTAAATATTACTAAACTAATAATTAAATTAATAGTGGTAGAAATTATGTTAGTGATATATAGATCCTTAAATATAAAAAATAGACTAGTATAGAAGGTAATAGATAAATTTCTAATACCTGACCTAATATGATGCCAACTTTAATCTGCAATAGAATTACTTTCTAGAACTTTGCATGTTTGAGACTCAAGTGGATCCCTTTCACTTATCAATTCCATTGTATCGGTAATACATTTCGAAACACCATTGTTCATGAGGCATCCATTGAAGCTTTTATTATCACTTTGGTATTGATCAATAGTCTTTTCCTCCATTACTGCTGCTTTCATTAGGTTTGCTTTAGGCAGCAGTTCAAGGTTTTGTTTCACAGTGGCAATTGCCTCATATAGAAACAAATAGTCATCACACACTTGCCATATACCTGGCCTTTTGTTATGATATAGTTTTGCATACATGTACACATCAGCATGTTTTTCATACTCCAAATGCATACACAAGGCTGTCAGAATACAAAATGTAGCTGCTTCAGTACCACCAAATCTAAAAAAAAAACGCATAATTGAAAATAGTTGTGAATATTTAAAAAAATAATTTAAATCATCAGAATAGTCAAAAACCATTCCATAAAGTAGGAGTTCAAAAGTTTATTTTGCAGGTGGTTTTCTCATGCTTCTTTGGGGATTTCCCTATTGTTATTTGTAATTATTTCTATTAAAATCAATAAACTTATTGCAATTATCAAGTTTGTGATAGAATTTTCATTATTAACTTCCTGTAGGATAAGTTATAGTAATCGCAAAAAATTCGAAAATAAACATTTTTGAATATCTTTATGTTTCAGAGGTTTTTGAACATTTTGGCATACCTTACAATTAGAAAAAAAAATGGATGTATGTGTGTGGGGATACAAATTTTCATCGACGATTTCGAAAACACGGTTAAACCGATTTGAATTATTCAAAAAACATTCGATTCTTTTGATAAGAAGACGTGCTGATTAGTTTTGGACAAAGGCAGGTCTAGCCGTTTCGAAGATACGAGGCAAAAAGTGCCAAAAACGGTAACTGAATTTTTAAGAGAACGGAGTGTCCGATTTGAATAATTCAAATAACATTTTACTTGTATTGAAAAGATGAAGAACTGATTAAATTTTTGGGAAGGCAGGTCTAGAGGTTTCGAAGATCTAGTAAAAAAAAAAGTAAAACAAAATGCCATTTGGCGGTCGAAAATGATCATGAGACACATCAGATAAGATACTTTATGGAGCCTTGTTTTAATTTGTTGGGTTCCGTAACATTGTTTGTCTGATCGTTACCAAAGGTTGGTTAAGATGTATCATTACTTCCCATTGAGGTCTTGCGTCATGTGGCGTTGTCATGAAGAGAACCAAAAGGTTTATAAAAATTTAGTATTTCATTACGTTATATGTCATTTTACATATTATGAGCAAAATGATTTTTGTAATTAGTTGAATTTTTCATTAATAAATAAGTTATTATATCTTCTAATTAATTAAAAGACAATGTTATTGATAGTCAATAAATGCAAGATTATTAATAACAATTGAGACTGATTATAATACCATTAAATAAATCTTATAATATAGAATGAAATAGATATATATGTTGATGTATTTTTTTTTTCTTTAATCTCTTATACCAGGCACACCTGTCTCACTGAGATGTGAAAATATTATCAATGAAATAATAAAAAGAAGAAAAAAAACGATTATCATTGAAAAACACAGCACTATGTCATTTTGTTCGTACTTCCCCTATCAGTGATCTCCATAAAGTACTAGGATTTTCCCTGAATTATATTAATATAATTAACATAAGAAAAATCATCATTTACACTAACTAAATTCCACTTTATCAAAAAATATATCAGGTAATAGAAGTTTCAGTTGATAATTACCTGTCTACAACAACTATGTGTTCATTTGGATTCTTTATGTGCTGCGTTTGAACAACTTTCAAGAAATCAAACACAGAACTTATCGGCTCACAAGTATGGGGCCAACCAGGGCTATGAACTATAGTCACATTAAATTCATAATCGTCTTGTAGAGACTGTATTGTGAACTCATGTATAATATATTTATCCAGAGTTGAATCAGATACATGTTTTACTTTGTAGTTCTGACCTTCAAATGTTCCGTAATCCTCTGGCCAGTACACATTGTATTCCTGTAAATAATTACATGATAATAATATACAAAGTAAATTGATCTTCGCAAAAGCCTTTTCATATTCCTAAAGCAAATGGTTCTATATAAATGATTGTATATTTACCTCCTGATCAATATTTGACAACATGACTATAGTCTGTATAGTATGATCCCAGATCATTTGCCAGAAGTCCAGCATTGTATCTTGCAACGGATGCTGAGTAATTATAAACTCCTTTAATTTCTGGAACCCTTGAAACCATGTTGCGTTAATGTAATCACTTCCATCGACACCAGGCTTAGGCGTTAAATGTACTCTACCACTTTCAATTGGTAATATTGAGCTAGAACGATTCTTATGAGCATTTGAAGACTTGTTAGCCGAAACCAAATTAAAATCCTTAGGTTGATAGCTGGTCAGTAACTAAAAAAAAATGCATTTATTAATATAAAAATATGAATACAGAGGTGCCTAGCACAACGTACGCCTCGCATAATGAATGCTGCATAAAACAAACTTTTTTTTTCGCGCGAACGTTTTGCTAAACAGGCTTCGCTTCACATAACGTATTGCACCATTGTCGTATATAGTAAGAAAGAAGGCGTGCTATTAGTGGTAGTTCAACCAGAAGGCCACATTCGCCTAAGTAAGTTATATTCAAAGAGTGAAGCTTGGAAATTTTTGTTCGTGTTGTAAAAATATACATGTTAGAGAAAAAGCTCATACTAAAAACACTTTTGCTATTGAATTCCAAACCTTTCATCACACCAAAAATTTAGAGAAAATTTAGAGAAAATTTAGAGAAAATTTTGGAAAGAGGTTGAAAAAAACAGAGATATGAAAAGCGAGTCAACAAATTTCTAATACAGCCATTAAAGCCTTTTTAGTTTGAGGATAATGGAATAAATGATATGTTCTATTATACACTTGCTCATTATTTTTGATATGTCATAAAGAAAAAAGTTAACCAACAACTGTTTCTTTAAAAATTCAGGAGCTGTAAGGGCAAAGAAAAAAGCTGGATCACTTTTTTGAATATAACTGATAATTAATTATTTTCAAAAATAAGTTTAATTTTAATTTTTAATATTTGGCCATATTTCATACTACGAAATAAATTAATTTTATTTCAATGTGTTGCCATAGCTTTGCATGCATTTTGCATAACAACAAAACTATTTAATATCGCTGTACATATACTAGGTAAACTAAATACAAAAACATTATTTCTGCAGTAGTCGCGTTTCTGCGTAGTCCGATTGGGTTCTATTAGGCCAAGGATGAGCAACCTGCAGCCCATCAGGTTTTTCTGCGGCTTGCCAAGCATTTCTCAACTACAAATTATTTTTCTAGATATTTTATCAAATACGGCTGTAAAGGCTAATTTTGTTGTAAGTCAAATACTGGTAAAGACTGTTGTTCGCAAAAATAGCATTTCCTGATAAAATAAATATTAATTTAAATAATAGTTTAACAATATTGCATGAAAAATTGAGAACTTGTCGTGGGGTTTAAATCATCATGAATTTAAAGACTACCAGACAATTTAGAGCGTGAGTATGTGGTTTTCAATACCAAAGTACGTTAGAGCTCAATAGTGATGCAACCAAATAGTGATACGACCAAGGGCGAACTACAATTGTTTTTAGAAACCCAACTCAAATTATGATAAATTATTTTTTTGGAAGTACGTATGTGTGCGAACAATTATACAGGTCCACAGAAGAAAAGTCGGTGGATTAATTCATTCATTCAGAAAAAATGCCAAATTGAAGATTGTGCCAGTTTTTAAATGTTTTCCCATATTTTGCGCTCCAATTTTGACTACAGATTTATCTTCAGCGATAAAAGTACATTGAAAATACATTGGAAAACATATGTCACACACCCAACCTCGACAACTTTTTTTGTGAACCTGTGTTAATTTCTACCATGAAATTCATAAAAAAATACCACCTATCAAAACTGAGTAAAACATATCAAAGCTGCATACGTGTTGCAACTTTCCGCATTAAAAAAAATAATATAAAGAACAAAATTTAAAAAAAACGACTGATATTAATCAGGATATATAAAAAAGCAGTGCCAAATTTCTTATTAAAGTTTTCAAGTAAATTAGTTTTTCTGTTTAATTATTATTTGTTTTTATTTTGTATTTATATTTATAAACACTCATAGTAAACACTCGTAATTATATAAAATATATACTTTATATATATATAAATTACGTGCGGCCCGCCATAAAATTTTGAAAACCAAGTTGGCCCGTGGATTAAAAAGGTTGCTCGCCCTTGTATTAGACTGTGTCAAAAAGATTAGACTTCGTACTAAAATGTTTTTTTTTGACAGTTTTGCCTCAAAAATGGGCACTAGCAAAAAGAAAAAATGCTATCTTTTTTATAATTTTTGTTTGATAAAGATGAAAAAGCAAATCAAGCAGCTGAAAGTTGAACAGTGTTTATGATTCTGATACTGTAACAGCCAATTACGCACAATTTTGTTTTCGTCGATTCCATTCTGGTAATTTCGATGTAAAAGACGCATCCCGCACTGAAAGGCCAATTGTCAAAAATGACGAAAAATCACAAAGTCCAATCATCATGTAAGTCGATTTCGATCGTCCAAAAGCTAAAGATTGCACAAAAAACTGTTTGGCACCATTTAAAAAGGACTGGATACAAAAGAAGCTCGATGTATGGGTTCCACACAAAAACCTACTGAATGAATTGTCATCTGCAAATTTTTGAAGTGGTTGGTTACTGGTGATGAAAAATGAATCACTTACGACAACGAAAAGCGTAAATTGATCGATTCGCAGTGAAACGGCAAAAGCGGTGGCCAAGTCAATATTGAGATTTAATATAATTGGCAAGGAATTATCTACTGTGAGCTGCTCTACAATGGCAAAACTCTCAACTCGTAACTGTACGGTCAACAATTTAACAGTTGAACTAAAGACAGCAATCGCTCAGAGGCTTTCATCTTTGACCAGTAAGAGAGATATTGTGTTCCATCAGGACAATGCCAGGCCACACAAATCAATAGCGACTCGCCACAAGCTTCTGGAGCTTAGTTCATAGGTTTTTATGTATCCATCTTATCGGCCAGAACAAGGACCAAGTGAATACAATTTGTTCTTGTTCATAACAAGCAGTTTCGCTGGTGAAAAACTCACTTCAAGAAAGGCTCGACTGTTTCAATTGTTTGCCAATGGACGAGGGTTTCTATGAGAGAGACATAATCAGGAGCGGTCCAAGGATCATCAGTGGCCACATGCCATTTTTTTCTTGGCGCCCCATTTCCCCTATTTTTTTTTAAATTTTTACTGTTTTTCATTGAAATTATATGAAAAACTACGTGTGATGGCGCCCCTCGACGTTGCGCCCGCATTTTTCGCATGCATTGCATTTAGGGTAGGGCCCGTCCTAGGCATAATGATATTACTTTTAAAATGGCAACAAGTAATCGAGCAAAACAGTCCATAATTGACCTAAATCGGATCGTTCTAACTATGAATATTAAAGCCTACTTCAACTAATATATAAGATATTTTCCTTCCTATTATTTTAACATTGTAAATTTGAAATTATTTTTATTTTACTTGTAAATAATTTACCTTAAACTGTATCTCTAAAAGGTTCGAACTCATTTCATTATCATCATTATCTACAGGGTCTTTGAGACTCCTAATATACGATTCCATCTTGCTTTGATGAATGTTAGTATCTCCACTCTCAATGGCTTCAACCAGAGCATCATGTATAAAAATATACTGTTCCTCTGTCTGAACCAAAAAGTTCCTTTGAGTTCTTATGTGACGCAAAAATCCAAATATATTTACAACACCCTTCAACTGAATTTGTTTGAGCATGGCATCTAAAACTATATATGTTCCAGTTCTACCCACTCCAGCACTAGAAAAATATATTTCTTTATATGATCAACATATTTTTAAAAATTCCAAATAAAAAATATGGGTTCTATATTTTGTATTTCTGATTTATATATTTTTATAAGTATTAAATTATGTTTTATTAATATTTATATATAACTATACCTGCAATGTACAATTATTGGGCCGGAATTTGCTAAACTGGCTGCAGATGACTTTTTTACAAAATTGAGTACTGGCAAAGGATGATCTGGTGTACCGTGATCTGGCCAATTAGTATAATGATACTGATATACTATTTTTTCAATAGTATTTTTCTTACTTTTAATCTAAAAACAAAAATAAGCTATATAAAATATATAAAGTACATAAAATATAAAGATATGTAAAAAAAATACTTACTCTTAAATGTTTAATTTGAAATGTGCGTATAGTGTATGTAGCCATTACATCTTCTTTAAGTAATTTCACTTGTATTACCCCATAAGTTTCAATTCCTTCGACCGGCCAATACATATCACATTTTCTCTATAGAAAAAAAATCATCAGTTCAGTTAAATCACCACACAAATAAAAATCACATTTTATTTAGACAAAATACATATAATACTGTGATAAGAAAAATATTTATATGAAAGAAACATTTAGTTGCTTATAAATTAATAAACAGAATTAAGAGAACAATACGAAAGACATAGGTAGTTACCATATGTTCATGATTGTCTCATAAGATGCACTAAGTGTAAGATGAAAATTAAAAATAAAAAAATCTTTTTTGACTACTAACCCGACCCCTTTCTACAAGATTTGTGATCATAACAATTATTGAAACCCTTTGTTCCCACACCATGCGCCAAAATCCATCGAAAGTAGAAGGTAATGGGCCCTGTGTTCCTATATAAGCTCGGGAACATTGAAAACCATCAATGTAGTTTGCATTTATATAACCTAGATCCTTTTTCATTGTAGGCACAGGCAATAGACGTACTCTTGTGTGATCATCTAAAATTATATTTAATATTAATAAGTATAGAATATACAGGTCTAAGAATATACAAGTCTAAAAACTCAATATTAAGCCGAAACAAGGTTCATAACTGTCATGAAAAAAACTTAAAATTAAAAAATTTTGAGCTTGGTTTTAATTTTTTACTCTATTTTTTTTATTATAAAACTATCAAGTATTTTACTATTTTGCAATCCTGATTAAATGCACCAACTTTTGATGAGACTTGCCAACATACTTTAGTGCATTTTTTTTAAGCTTGGACTCTCAAAGTTAACCTTTGAGAATTACTTTTAAAATTTCAAGTTCACAGTTCAACAAAAAAGTTAATTCTTGAAAAGTTAAGACAATTGCATCATTATATTTGACTGATTTTTGAAATGTAATTTGCAAAAAAAAAAGATCCAAATCTTAAATAAACAAAATTAATAGAAATTAAGCACGTAAACCAAAAAATGGTCACATTTCCACCAAAACTCTATGTTACACTTAAAAGATGATAATTTTCAAACTACATGAGATATTTTTTTGACGTAAAACTTCTTTAGGTGCGACTAGGGTGTAAATCCGTAGAAATGCAACGGAAATTGCGTTACGCCCGAACTGTACGTCATTTGCTCTCGATGAAATCATTACAACGCGGGTCGATCTGTCATTGTATGCTTACCGATATCAACAAAGAAATCGGCATAGATAAATAAACATTTTAAAGTTACATCATAGTACAAATCTTGATTTAATGAAAAATGCCTGAATCAGAATAATATTTTACCCTGTTCCTTGAAAATAATAAAACAAATTAAACATTTGTGCCGTGAACTAAATGTAAGTTTAATGATTAGACATTATTTCTATCTTATTCGTAGTTTCTATAAATCTTTGAAGTTTTTAAAATGGAAAATATTTTTAAGACAAGACAGATATTACAACTGTTCAATGAGATTATATCACCAGCTAAAAAGTAAAAAAAAAATACAAGCAGTCAATGAATGTATGTTAATTTTAATTACATAAAGTTCTTCAAACACAATTACATGATGAGTAAAGTTGCGAAAACAATATTTGTTTAGGCGTTGTTTAACATAATCCACTGTGGGAACAAATAATATAGAATTTATTAATCAGCAATTACTTCATTACTATAATGAAAGTTCATTTCTAAATGCTAATTACAATGACAAACCAAAAATGTCATATTTGAAGTATGACTCTAATTACATTATCATTTTTAAATATTATACATATTTTCAATGTTATTAAAAATATAGACACTAATAAATGTGTGCATCACGAGTGTTACCACATTACTAATAAACATTATTCAAAATTGTTATATGATGTATTTACTTTTACTTAAATGCCATCTTGTACAGTACAAATAAGTTTTACTTCAATCGCGTGTGAACCTTATGCACACTCTTTTTTCTCAAAATATAATCAGAAAACAAAAAATACTACTTACATGCAATAATATTCAAATATCTATTCTTCGATTTATTCTCAGCAAGTTGTGAAATTTGAGATGTATATTCTTCAGGAGTACATTCTGATTGAATAGCATCATATTCTTTACTAAAACCTATATCACCATCTGCATGTAAATTGGCAGTATGTTTTGCAAAATTTGCAATAGAAACCGTAGTATGTCCTTGACCATCATCAATTTGAGAATCCCAATTCATTAATGTCGGAGGAGGGTTTTCTGGAGGATCATCCAGGTAATAATATGCAGTATGGAAACAGCGTCTAAAAATGGAAAGTTTTATATTGCAAAGCGTGTCAAACTGTAAGCTATAGAATGTGGAATATAAATATTTGTAAATTAATTTTACGTGTCTCCCATGAGTTAATGTAATAAAGTATAAATAAATTTTGCAGGATAATAAATAAAACTGGTTGTAAGTAGCATTTTGCTTTAAAGCAAGTTGAATGAACATCCTATACAGATAAATAACTTAATCAATAAAAATTGAATTTCAGTAATTTAGGTAACAAGTTCTAATATTTAATAAAATAGCTAAACTAAAATAAAATTTTCACTTTTATTAAAAAAAATAATATAATTTTCAATTAATGTTTCTCAAACATATTTATAATATCTGTAATTGTATAAATTAAGATAATTTCTTAAACACAATTCACTAAAAATTAATTTTATTTAAGTGTAGATGTTAACACTAATCAGTAAGTACCTGACGAAATGAACATATAATATATTTGGCACAGATTCGGATTCGAATCACCTAAGCGATAGGTAGAATTCTAACCTTTGATAAACTTTCATAATTCAATCTATAAGCATTTCTTATCGCAGGCCTATAATATTTTAGTACGTTATTTCAGACTATAATATCTATTGTAATGGAAAGATTCATAAATATCGTCAATTTTTATTTTTTCAATAACTAATTACAACAAAACGACCCGACCGATCTTTACTAAAGCTTAAGCAACAGGTTTCCCAACCAATATCTTTCAAAGAGTTTAGAATTTATAAAATTGATTTTAGATTGTCAGCTAAGACAATTAAATACACCAATGCAACTTAGCTAATACATGGAAAAATAAATTCACACTTTTGTGCTAAGTACAAAGAAACTGATCTTGTGGCTGATCTTCACGCAAAACAGATAAACGTTAATTGTTATCTAAGGGCCGTTCAAGTATTACTTAAGCACTATAGGGGGGCGGGGGGTTATTGATTTGCTTATTTTGGGTGACATTTTGGTGACGGCTTTGATTACTTTTGCTGACAAGGGTATGGGGGGGGGGGTACATAATTGTAATAAATCTGTTTACGTAATACTTGAACAATCCCCTAGTTACTTCATATGGCTTTGAAATTTTTGGAATTGGTATAACGGTTTTTGAGAAAACGTCGACAATAGATAAAAAAATACTTTTTCCAAATTTGGCCTCATTCTATTCAGAATGACTTGAAACATCGAGAATACACATTAATTAGTAGGCTAGCAGCAAATAGTATATTCGGCAAACTGCCGAATACCGAATATTTTGCAACTATTCGTCAGGTTTTTGGCGCCTAAGCTCGTTTGTATTAACACGTTGACTGCCACGCGTGTTTACAAGAAAATCCCCGTCAGGCCACCCGTGCCACTGTAAGACGCGTGCTCTGCCTTGAACGTTGAACTTCTACTGGGGACGTCAATTGTAAACGCTTTGGTCGTTTACAAAATTGTTACAAAGAAAACTGTAAATATTAGACGATTCAGGGAACTGATTGCTGCAAAGTTACTAGGACTGAGTGAAGATTTAACACTGTCTTCTGTTCGACGAAATACGCATTGCATCGCCTTTCGCAGAAATAATTTGAGGAAAAGCCTTAGACGCGCATGCAAGCGGTGTTACGCAAATAAAAGAGAAGAACTGGACCGATCAAAGGCACGAGCAAATCTCAGAAAACCTACCACTTTTTGTCCAAGCTGCCCTGGTCAACCGCAACTTTGCAGTGAATGCTTCAATATTTTGCACTGTAAATAATTTTGTTAATAAACGATTTTAAAAAAAAAATCAACAGTATTATTATCTCCTGTAATATATTTATCTAAAAATGTTCGGAAAACCTTTGGAAGGAGTCACCCGACGTGGCCTGATGAGAACTCTTGCTGTCACCCGTATACGGGTGACGTGGCCTGATGAGAACTTTTGCTGTCACCCGAATACGGGTGACACGGCAGTTAACGTGTTAATGTAATTACTATTAGTAATTGTTATATTACTAACGCGCGACATGTTTATTCAAGTTTTATGCCTAGACCTTGCAACCACTCTTCAGCTACTCTTTGATATTTAGAAGATTTGGCACCATTTACACTTTTAGGCTGAATATTGAATACTTGAATACATGTGATAAAGAAATAAATTGTAAAATCATTAAAAAAGCGAAGATATATATATATATATATATATATATATATGAATGTATTTCCAATTATTTCTTTCATAAACATTTGATATTTTCTTTTAAAAACTCAATATTATTTCTTATATATTAGGGATGCCAATCATAATGAGATAAATAAAAAATGATCAAAAATATTGTTTGTATATTTTGTGATAAAGAACCAATTTCAGCTTTACTTGGAAATGCTTAGATTGAATATAATGAATGACTTTATTGTATAGATACAACACATGTGTGTAACCATTGAATGATTCATATTAAATAATATAAACATGTAACATTAAAGTGTTCATTTTTAATCTCAAAAGTCAATAAAGTTTAAATTATTTTATATACAATAACGAAATCATTTTTTCATATCATATTACATTAACTAAACACTTCCAAATACAGACTGATCAGTATTCGGCTGAATATTAAAAAAGGTTCCAAATATGCCTAATACCGAATAGTAACCAAATACTCGGTGCAAGCCTAATAATTAGCAAATTATTTTTTTTCGCAAAAATAAACTTCTCCTTTTGGGAAGTTAATTATCTACTTACTTCCATAAAATAAAAGCTATTATTGCCAGCATAATAGCACAAATGGCACATATGATACCCAATATGACTCCAGTGCTCATTTCCTCTGTGTCCATATTTTTTATAGCAATTATATTATTGCAAGTGGAATTCATTATTATCATCATCGGATCAGAATAGTTTCCATAAATCAATTTAGTATTATCGACCATGCTCTTTGACTCACCTCGAACGCGAAATTCATATATCACATTCGGAAAGAGATTTGGAATTGTAACCTGAATAATATCATATATATTTTTAGATAAATCTATATATATATATATATATATATATATATATTACATTTAAAATATATTAAAAAATAAAGATAAAATATAAAATTTGTGCTAGTTTCCTCAGAAGTATTAAATGACAAGTTCTAAGAATGACCACAAATGCAGTTTAACAGCACCTCAAAAAAAAAATCATATTAGGTTGGGGAAAAAGAATCCATTATTTTTTTAGTAGACGGCTGTACTGATAGATTTTGCTCGTAAAGTATTGATCAATCAATTTCAGATTTATGCTCGTGGAATGGCGACAATTAGCAGTAAAAAGAATTCTTAGGCTGTTTTTTATTTGTGAGTTAAAAATAAAAATCAACAAAGAGAAAATTCTGTACATTTTACAGTTTTGCTTTGACAAAGGCAAAAATAGAAGCTAAATGGCTAAATTTGTGAATGGTGTTTAAGATCCGATACTGTAGCAGCCAATTATGTGCAATTTTGGTTTCAAGGATTCTGTTAAGGAATTTTTGATGTTAAAAATGCATCTCGCACAGGTTGGCCGATCTTCAAAAATGTCGATAAAATCGGAAAATGATCGAAGCTGACCGGCATGTTAGCAGTCGTAACGTAGTTTTAAACCAAAAATAATGTATTTCTTGTTCCCCAAACTAATACAATTGAAGTCAACAATAATTTGTAGCATGTCCTTTCAAACATGTAATTAGTAAACTAAACATGAATATTGCATACAATATAATTTTAGAATAAAGTTCTATTGTACCTCAACTTCGACTTGTTTGCTGTTTGTGTTGTATGGTATCGATTGAGATATATTCAAATCCTTTGCTTTTATACTGACATTGTAGTAATCAATGCTATTATTAAAATAATCAGGCTTCTGCCATTTAAATTTCGCGGTTTTATCATCTTCACAAGTCAAAATCATGACAGTTGGAGCACTTGGACCCATAATATCAGTTTTAGTTTTTACTGACGTCGATTGTGAACCCACATTTCCATTTTCATCAAAAGCTCTTACAAAAATATCGTACAACATAAAAGGTTCTGAAAACATGAATAAGTATTAGTAAGCAGCAGAATAGTCAAATAATTATATTCATGGTTATTAAAGTAAAACTTCTTTAGGCGCGACTAGGGTACAAATACAAGGAAAATTACATTACGCCCGAACTGTGCGTCATTCGCTCCCGATGAAATCATTTCAATACGGGTCGATTGTGATTAGTCGTCGTGTATGTGAATAGAGATCTGTCGTTGAATGCGCACCTGCATCAACGTTGTATTCGTACCGATATCAACAATGAAATCGGCATAGATAAATAAACATTTTAAAGTTACATCACAGTACAAATCTTGATTTAATGAAAAATGCCTGAATCAGAAAAATATTTTACCCCATTTCTTGAAAATAATAAAACAAATTAAACATTTGTGTCGCGTACAAAACCTAAGTATATTGATTAGAAATTATTTCTATATTATTCGTAGTTTCTATAAATTCTTGAAGTTATTAAAATGGAAAAAAAAATTTAGGCAAGGCAGATATTACAGCTGTTCAAAGAATGAGATTATATCGGCAGCGAAAAAGTAAAGAAAAATACAAGCGGTCAATAAAAAAAAGTATGTTAATTTTAATTACATGAACTTCTTCAAACACAATTATATGATTAGTGAAGTTGTGAAAAAAATATTTGTTTAGGCATTGTTTAACATAATCCACTGTGTGAACAAATATTATAGAATTTATTAATCAACAAATATTTCATTTCTCTAATGAAGGTTTATTTCTAAATGCGCACTCTTTTATATAATAGGTAGTCCAGTAATGTAATCTTTTCACCTGCGGATATGTGAAAAGATATTAAATCTATAAATTAGCATACCTAAACCAGTTAAAATGGCTCTTGGTGCATCACTGCTCACATTATGGTAATTAGTTATTTTGTTATTACTGTAAACAATCTGGTAATAGTATTGAGCATTAGGACTAAGATTTTGTGGTTTATCCCATTTCAATTCAAGAGTTGTTGGTGTCACCCTTTCCACGACCAGACTAGTAGGTGGTAAAATACCTAAAATTAATATCAACAATTGTAATTACATTGCAGATCGGTTCATATATAAAAATAAATCTTAAAATTAATGTTGTTCAAATTGATTTCACATTGGCAGTGTTCAACATATCACAAGATGCGTGTTAATTTATTTTGTTAATAAGAAATACAATAAAAAAGAAATAAAAAAGAACAACACATGGACAATATTATGTCAACACATTTAGGTAAAATTAAATTAGATATATATATATATATATATATATATATATATATATAACAAGTATACAAGTGTTAGAAGTTTCAAACATCAAAACACAAAAGCAAACATGGTTCTGTCAGTTTATAAAAAAATTTATTATCATATTTGAAAAAAAATTTATCATATTGGAAAACATGTGCACTATCTAAAAAAAATAAAAATAAATTATAACCCTAATTTCGGAGGCAATTATGTTAAATATTAAAAAATTCCAGTTTCCAAAAACAATAAATAAATAAATAAATATATATATATATATATATATACATGTATATGTTAACACATGATATATAAAAAAATCAATTACTAATTTTGACAAAACATCACCTCGATTCTGGAGAGTTGAAGAATTTTGAAATTCCTGCGGCATAGCCACTATTTCAATAATATTTACGAAGAAACTACATTTTAAAATCGTGATTAATATAATCCTATTCCTGGTTGTAGCCATTTTATTTATTTTTAATTAGTAATAAATAACTAATTAATACAATTTATTTGTTTAACACGCCGAGTTCGTCGCTCCATCATTACCCGGGTAATGTCATGATTCACATTGATTTAGTAACGATCGTTGAGTATTATTAATTTTAACACAAACATAACGTAACGATTGTGGCCATCACAATGTCATATTGCAAATATTGAATAATCGAAACATTTACATTGTGAATTTGTTTGACAATGGCGAAAAACAAACACACCCAGGAGTAAACGTCACTACCCACTTATTTCATGTAGAAGCGACGCCATAGAGAACGCATATGGTCTTTATAGATCAAAGACTCAACCCACATCGCGGTTGGCGAGAAATTCAAAGAGGAGGCGCTGCCTGTCCTGGGTCCATAGAATATTGAATAATATATATTACGGGCAGTCAACTTAAATTAACTAATTAATTATTACTTAATAATACTTGTGTGCGCGAAATTATTTTCGTTCGAAATTAAGTTGTCAGCTATATATTATCTTAGTATAAATTATTTTAATTACGTAAATGTAATCATATCTAATCTTTCGGACAACAGATATTAGACTTCTAAATATTTTAAAAACTTTTTGAATTTATCCGTTTTATTCTAATTACAGTTTAAGATTTTATTATTATTATTAACTTTCGTAGGATAAGTTATAGTAATCGCAAATAAATCGAAAATATAAATTTTTATATATCTTTACCCATAGATAAACAAGTTACGTTTCTTTTACGTTGTCTTTACGTTCAAAGGTTTCTGAATATTTTGGCATACCTTGGAAAAAATGGATATATGTAGTGTGTGTGCGGATACAAATTTTTGTCGACAATTTCGGGAACACGGATCGACCGATTTGAATAATTCAAAAAACATTCGATTCGTATTGATAAGGAGACGTGCTGATTAGTTTTTGGCGGAAGCAGGTCTAGCCGTTCCGAAGATACGGGGCAAAAAGTGCCAAAAACGGTCACTCAGTTTTTAAAAGAACGGAGCGTCCGATTTTATTAATTCAAAAAACATTTTACTTGTATTCACAAGATGAAGAACTGATTAAAATTTTGGGAAGTCGAGTTCAGCGATCATGGACTCTTAATAAAAATAATTTAAAAAGATGTCATTTGGCGGTCAAAATTGTTTATTGGATTTATGCACATCAAATTATTAGATATTTTGTTGTGTGTGATATTTTATTGTTCAGACATTTTTTTGGGTTCCGTACCAAGATTTTTAATTACGGCAATTTGCAGTTAAATCTTGTAGTGCAATGTGTTGTGATAAAAAGCGCGAAAAACTTATTTTCACTTGCAATTTCAATATTTTGTAGTCCTTGTCTTTTGGAAAAGGAGGCCAGTCGTCATGTCATCATATTCCTGGTCAGGATTCTCACAATACTTATAAAATTCATATTAGAATCTTTAAGATTAACTTTGTTGCAGTATTTATTCGAGTGAAACATCTATATGCTATTGAAAACTTTAAAAATACAATTTGTTTTTATTATATAATTAAATATAAGCAAAGACCACAGAAATCATAACATAATAATAGTTTATATAACAAAGATACTTTTATACTGAATCATAGCTGTTGAGAATAATTATATAAATAAACACACACACAAATATATATATATATATATATATATATATATATATATTTGAGTTATATATTTAAATCTATCATTTAAGGCAGAATTATTCTAATAACCACTACTCCTAAGTTTTTTATTGTCACGTTATATTTCGTTTTGTGTGTTTCATTTAATATTTATGTTAAGCCTATAATCATAGTTAATATATCTAGTAATTATTGATTTATTGTTACAATTATTTCATAATGACTTTTATTCAAAAATTAAACAATAATTATATGAAAGAAATTACAATTTGTTATTACATGCTGATATACGTTGAATGGAATTCTAATACGGCCTTCATTATTATTATTTTGTTTGCACATTACGTACTTTTAATAACAGTGTGATTAAACTAAATCATAAAATCTCAATGCATATAAACATTTAATTTTATAAGCAGTGTTTTTATTCTTTATTATTATTCCTTTAAATTTCATTTTAACTCTTTTTTGGCATTCTTTTTATTTTCTTTGATTTTAAATTTATATAAATTATTCAAATTTATTATAGATTTAGTTTATATAAATTCATTATATAAATACTTTATATTATAATATTTGTGTTAACTGCACAATGAACTTACTTGGTAATATAAAAAAAAGTAACCATTCGAATCAAGTATATTTTAAATCGGCAAATCACTCATTAATTCACAAAACTCTTAGCTCGCGCGTTGCACGCAGCTTTATATCAAGCAGTATAGTAATAACTATTTCAAGTTATAAAGATTTTATTTATTGCTCACAGCTTGTTTCAATAATCAGATTACAATTTTAATTTATAAGTTGTAAAGATAGATCATAAATATGTTTCAAAGTATAAATATCCCATCCTGGAATTGCTGCTTAAAGTTAAAAATGCTAATTGCAAGTATGTAAAAATTTATTCACAGCCAGAATAGTAGTCGTGTTAGCTTCCTTATAATAACCACCTGTAAAAGACTAATAAAGTAATTAATGAATGTTTTCATAATATAGACAAATTACAATTCATAGGTTAGCTGATCAAATGTGATAACTTAGAGCCTTTTAGTTTTTTCTTCCAATATTTATTTAATTTTTTATTTAGAATTATATCTACATTTTTGAGATATGGAAAATCTCAAGAAAATTAAACTAATATGTTTTTTAAATAAACACTCACTGAAAGGTGAGTATAAACGATTATTAAAAAAATTAAAGGAGAATTTAAGTTAAAAAAAATAAAATGAAAGAACTAAAAGCTTTTGAGAAGATTATTATTCAATTTTTCATTTAAAATTATTTTCTACGTTTCTAGGGTTTAATATGTAAAATTCTTCGGAAACTGTTAAAAATATGCAAAATATTTTGACAATTTTTTAATTATTTGAAAAATGAAAAAAATCACTTTTTACCTTTGAAAGAAAAACTTTTAAGACACTCACCAAAAATGAAATTGTACATTCTCTAAAAATTATAATTGAATATACCTTGAGCTATAGATGTTTATTGTTGTGAGTGTGTAGAAAAACTAAAATTATAAATTCGTTTTTCTAACTAGTTTATCGTATTTTCTTTGAGTTTACGTATTTTCGATAACATTCTTTATGTCGAATAAATGTGTCTACAGATTTGCCTTGATTGCATTTTTAACTTTATTCACTTACTATTTTAATTATTTTTATATTTACAATTTCTTATTGTTTACACCTTACCTGTATTAGTTGAGTTAGTTCTTTTTACCCCATTCACATGTAAGCTAGAGGTTGTACAAAAAAAAGTCAAATCTGGCCTAAAAATAACAGTACATCTTAAAAACAATTAAATAAATATCATAACTAAAGAACGGTGTTCAAAAACAAAAAAACTAATAACGCGAACAAAACTTTTGTTATGAGTATTGATGTCTTTTGCCTTCTACTTTAAAATAGTGTCGTTACAAAATTACTACTATACTTGTTTTGAAGATAATGACCTATTTTACCCTATTATACACACATACAATTACACAAAAATAAATAAAATTATATAAATGTGATACATTGCAATCATTTCATATGTTTATAGTCCACCTTCTGCTCCAATCCTGGGTGACCTGTGCCTCGGCTTTCACCTCCCTGTATATCTATGTATGAATATATGTGTGCAGTGTTATAGATGTTTGTACGGTTGTAATGTACGAAATAAAATTGGTTTAATATTAAAGAGAATAAGGCATCTGTTTACAAGGGTTCGAAAAATTCCGTCATTATCTTAGCCGTTCGCGTCGCACGCGTCCGAATCGATCGGCAGATGTTGGCCCGTCAATTTCAAAGCGGATTAAATCACTGCACTGTTTCGATTTTCCCAAAAAGGGTGAAAAATATTTGACACAAAAACACCACGAAATATAAAATTTTACAAAAGGGGTAAAATCCTATAAAAAGCGAACGGCTCTAAGCACAGTATAATGGACGCGGTGCGCGACACCCGTCACATATTTTATGAAAATAAATGTAACCTTTAAAATAACATTGGTCACGATCATTGTAATGTGTTAAATTTTTCCTCTCTTTTTTATTTTTTGTCAATTACATCCTCCGATATTTCATGTTTTTATTTGAAAAAAAAACTTTTTTGACACAAAAAGGTCTCCCCAGTTTGCTCAATCTTACTGCACTAGGGGAGAATGGATAGATTTCACTAAATGGACTGAAAAATCGATAATTGACAAAAACGACTTTTTTCACGACCAAAAATTGCTGATTACTCAAAATATATTGCAAAATCGAACTGATGAACGCATTGTGTTATAAAGGATTTAATAATACTGAAAATCGTTCACTGAGCATTTCACATAAATACCTATTTTCTAAAAAAAAGTCACGCTTCACCGATTTATTTTCATTTTATAAAAAAACTTTTTTTTTCAGATTTATCAGATTTTAAATCATATTTTCATCAACATTGTTATCAGACAATAAACATATAGATAAGGTAACATAAATATTAAGAATATTCTAGAGACAGGGATTTCTCGTTAACGTTGAAACCGATTCTCAAAATATTAGCAGCTAATAAGTATAAATAAATACACTAATATACTAATAGTATATTTGTACGTTTATGTAAGTTACGCATATTTTGTACGTTTTGGCACTAAATATGTGTTATCAATCAATCATCAATCACAGGTTCATACTAAGAACAGCACCAAAAATCTAAAACATTTTTTATACACCAGTTTATATTGAAACAATGAAACGAATATCAGATTTTTTTTTAAATTTTAAGTAACTTCCCGTAGGGTAAGTTATAGTAATCGCAAAAAAATCAAAAATATTTTTTTTTATATATCTTTACGTTTCACAGGATTTTGAACATTTTGGCATACCTTAGAAAACATGATGTATGTGTGTGTGTGTTCGGATACAAATTTCATTCGACAATTTCGGGAACACGGTTTAGTCGATTTGAATGATTACATAAAAAACATTCGATTGCTATTGATAAGGAGACGCGCTCATTAGTTTTTCGCCAAAGCAGGCCAAGCCGTTTCGGAGGTCTCCGCACCTCCGTAAAAAGTAGAATAATAGTAATTCAGTTTTCGAGATAAAAAAGCGTCCGATTTGAATAATTCAAATATGTTACTTGT